AACGCCCTCTGATTCTGGGAACAGTGGATCCTTCTGGCTTGAAGGCTGGGGATGCTGGTAGCTTGATGTAATGAGAAAGTTGCTTAAGCCAAGATTGTAGCTTGCTAAAGTTATGTTTCAGTTACTAGACAGCATGTTATTTTTGTAACCAGATCTGTCTCTTTTTCTCTTGCTTAGTATCACTTAAATCTGCATTCTTTAGTATTACTATAAACCATCTCAGTGCTGTTATATTAAAGTGTGGGTCCTCAGTTACTCTAACAGGCTGGGTTGCGCATGGCCTCTTTGGAGGCAGCATACTTAATAATTTCTGTCAGTGACCAGTGAGGGGGACTGGACACTGCAGAGAGACACCTCTGGGAACTGGGGTTCACGGAATGATACTTGCAAGGCAAGGTTTAGACTGGCAGAGTTTCAAGGAGTTGGCTGGTGAGGCAGACAAACCAGTTGGCAAGGAGCTGTCACACCGTCTAAGCTCCAGCAAAGCTCTCTCTTGCTGAGGCGGTGTGGTAATACAGTGGCTTACCATTCTGGGCTCCCTGCGAAAAGCATCACAGAAGCTTCCTCCAGTGTGATGGCTTTGATTTCCACAAAAGGTTTGCAGTCAGCATCTATTGCTTTATTACAAGCACCCCTGTAGCTTACAATATGTGACCACATATTACTTCTCAAATGAGCCTTGCAATGCTTTTCAGTGATGGTTAAGGGATTAACAGAGATCCAGGGCTTCTTGGGCGCTGTGTTTGGGGTCCAGTGATAGTCATAGTGGCATTGATTATGTGGGATCTGAAGTCCTTTCAGGCAGGTTCAGCATCAGTACACTCTGGCAGGGTCTCAGACCTGTTCAAGATTTCAACTGCATCGCGATTTCGAATGCTATCGATTTTTAGGTTAGATAAATCAAATTTTGGTAACCCAATCATTGCTTTGCCTGAGCTTTTTAGTCTAAGACAAATTTGCAGAGATGACTTTATGTTCTTCAATGGCAAATGGATAGTTTTCAATTACAAGAGATTATCATGTAATCAAACATCTTCTTTGTTGGGCCGTCGTTACTCTGCCAAGTAAATTGGTGAATTTGCTTCCTGTGAAACCAGGTGTTCATAATGCCAAGCTCATGAGAAACACACAACTGTAAAAAGTGTTCACCATCCAGGGTAACAGGCCCAATAACGTTTTTCCATGCTTTACTCAAATTATCAACAATAGCCTTAAATTCACCTAGGAGAGTGACGATGTCATCATTCAAGGTGGTTCACAGAAGATTGCTGAGTTGACTGTAGAACTCTGTCTTGTCTTCATCAGAAGCTTCGTTGGTTGGAGCATAGCAAAGAATAATTGTCCATCTTCCATGCTTACACTGGTGCTGGGCTTTGAGTAGGTGACTGGAAATTGGTTCAGACGAAGAGATCAGTTTGTATATATGACGTTTAAGGAGGAGACCCAGTCCTTCCTTTCTCGTGCCCTGAGCACCTGACTGCATAAGATGATAGTTGCCTGTTCTTTCTTCCCCTCTATCTTTAAGGTGGGTTTCAGTGAGGCCAATGATTGGCATCTTTAACCTGGACATTTTTCTAATGAGCAGCTTCTTTGAGCCTTCCTTATTAAGGGTTAACAGTTTTTCTGTTCAATACCTAAAAGACCCCTACTTGTGAGATTAATTTTTAATATATCATAAATCACATTGATCTGAGGCAAACACATTCATTACTAGCAGTTGCTAGCCCATCCGACCCTAGGCCTGGGTCCTGTAGGAAAAGATGAGAACCCCAGGGTGGGCTCCACCCAGTCTGGCAGGGTTGGTGTTGCCCTGTACAGTGCATTTAGCACAGGAGGTTAGACTGCCTACCAATGAGACGTGGCGGTACGGTTGAAGCAACAAGTGCAATACCAAAACTGAAGCTGCTCAGATGAACACCTCAAATACTCTGACAGGGAGTCACTCTGGTTAATCTTGAAACTCGTAGTCCTCCCTGACAAGCTGTGTAGAAAGTTCCTTCTCTTGCATGACTCCTCAAGTTGCATTCTTGTAACTGGGAAGAGAACTGCTTTCTTCCAAATTAGGTTGGGTGTTCGACAAAGTTGCATTGCCGCCCCAGAACTCTGCAATAAGCGACATGCTTGAACAGACACTAAGTAAATGCATTTTAGGCATGCGTCTTGATGATAAGAACCTCTCCAATATCGATTTTGCCAGTGACATAGCGCTAGTCGTCAAAGCAATGCACGAGCTGACTGCTGTGCTTAAAGCCCCAGAAAGCTCAGCTGCAAAAATCAGCCTGAAAATAATTTGGGGGCAAAACCAAAATTCTTCCTGTTAGTAATTCTGAATGCACTGCAGGCTCTCGCATCTTAGTGGGCAACCTCCCAGTCGAGATTGTTGGTGATTTCACCTCCCTCAGCTCTTTTGTTGGTAACATGGGCTTCATCGAGAAAGAACTTGAAGACATCACTGCAAAAGCAGCGTCAGTAATGGGGTGCTTCATCAAGAATGTCTTCTGCCAATTGAACACCCTGATAAGGAGAGAGACAAAGCTGCGGATATATATTGCTTTGGTGGTCAGTATCCTGATCGATGGGACTGAAACATGGCCCCCACTGTCAAGATTAAAAAGATTCATTCGGTATCATTCAGATTAAGCATCTTTGAATGATCGAAAACATCGAATGGTAGAAATTCAAGCCAAATGAAGATATCTGTTTTCTAACTAAACAGGTCCTGTGCTCTCAAACAGATACCCCGTGCTCTCTAAGGTGGTATGGTCTTTTGTTCCAAATGCCTACCAACTTCTCTGCTATAATCATCTTCAACTTTGACCCAATGAATGCAGGATGGAAAAGACCTCCTCAAACACAGTGGCCGGACAGCGTCAATAAACACCTGTCCCTCATAGGTGTAACGTGCCAGATTTGACACAGGACAGAACATTATGGAAGCACATGGCCCCTACACTGCTCAAGTGACAGCATGAGAACTAACCTAACCTAAAGATAAGTGATGAAGATTGGTGCGACTCAGTGCAGACATAGTAGTTGGAACAGAGCAGATAGAAAGGTCCTGTGTTACTGTGAGCAAAAGCACAATTCTCTTAAATGCTGGATCAATCCCTAAAGTACATTTCTCATTTTACAATTGTAGTGTTCAGACCTGTATGTAAAACAAGACAACTGGGGAAAATCTTTGAATGCTTTAATTAAAATGCCACTTCTCATCTGGTCTAACTATACAGACAATGTTTTATGTATGCTAACATTCTAGTTATCTTAGCGCTAAGCTTCCAAAATGTCTAGCTATAAATACATAGGGCCAGGAGATTTGCCTAAGTAAAGATAAAACAAGGATTCCAGGATTGGATCTTTTTTTTTTGTTATATGGATGCAAAAGATCAAGCATTAAATTATTTGTAGTTCTTTGTCAAATATACCTTGTTAGCATCTAGATACCATGAGGGCTGGAGCTAGATAAATATGCTAGGTACATAGGGGGAGGGATGATATGACACCTACAAGAAATTAGCCAACTAATAATGAGTAGGTTGAGACGCAGTTGGGTAGAGCTAGAATGTATTTATTTAATTTTAAATGTATATATAAAATTATCTATACTTTGAGTGTATTCACCCTCCCTTGCCCTTTATCAGTATATTGCTTTCCCCCTTAAATTGTAAGCTCTTTGGGGCAGAGACTGTGTGGGCAAACAGTGCCTAGTGCATTGAGGGTACTACCCAAATCCAAATAATAATGATTGATAAGTACAGCTTTTCTTTAGCAGTGAGTAGAGTGAGTAAGATGGGATGGATGGGCAAGTGCCTCTGGGCAAGTGCCTCTGGGCAAGTGCCTCATAGCTAGTGCCTCTGGCACAAAAGGGAGGGCGCACCTGCACTATAGCTGGGTACATGAATGGCAGCTCGTGTAGATGTAGCCACACTAGCTCGTGTAGATGTAGCCACACTAGCTGTCCTCTAGTTAGCTTGCTAAAAATATCAGTGAGGATGCCACGGCACAGGCTTCAGCGTGGGCTGCCCACACAAATATATGCCCAGGAGGGCTGGGCAGTCTTATGCAGCCGGCACTGAAGCCTGCGCTTCCACACCCTTTTGAGTGTTTTTTGTGTGTGTGTGTGTTTTGAGTGCTGTTTTTAGCAAGCTAACTAGAGGACAGCTAGTGCGGGTGTGTCTACACGAGCTGCCACTCACACCCCTGGCTGTAATGCAGATGTACCAGAGAGTGCTCAGGGCTAGTCCTGATTCTGCCTCTACCTTGCCCCAGCCAGCAGAGCTTGTTACAGGAGCCAGGCTTCCTTTTTGCGCTCCAGAGTTCCAAGGGTAGGGCATGCCTGCCAGCCTAGGGAGCCTCTGCACTGTCACCAGATCGGAGCTGCCTGGGCCCTAAACCACTGGAAGGAAGTCGATTTAAATTGTGTGTGGACCGTTTTGGGGGCCAGAGACTTCAGAAGGGCTAAGGAAGGCTATGGAGAAAGGTCCCACTGTGATAGAGGCTGTGCCGGGGGTTCTGATCTCTCTCTGCAACATGGAGCAGCACTCCATGAAAACTTCCCTCCCTCATAGGGGCAGGGATGGATGAGGGGATCATGGCTATTGTGTCTGATCCTGTGGGTCCATTGGCCAAATGCCCCCTGAAAAGGGAGCCGGGGGTGGGGGTGGAGCACAGATGCCTCTGCAACTCTGAGGCTGTAGTAGCCGCTGTGCTGGGGTTTCCATGGAGAATTCCTGCATAAAGCCCATCTTCATTTGTGCTTTGCACAAGGGTCAGGATTGGGCCTTCAGCAATCAGGACTCTGTCTGTAGCTGCAACAAGGTACTTGTTCCTGACCAAAGAGAGCATCTATTAGAGAAGCACGTGACTCTTTTGGGAAGCTTGAATGGTGCCATGTATTTCAGTCATGATTCACGAATATGAATTCCTCTTCCTCATTTGTTACCTTCTCCCCAGAAAGCGATTAAAGTGCTTCACATCCCCTGATCTGTTTTGTTTATTAGGCTCTGTGGATATCCTCCATTTTATGATGAAAATGACTCCAAGCTCTTTGAGCAGATTCTTAAGGCGGAATATGAATTTGACTCTCCATATTGGGATGACATCTCGGACTCTGGTAAGGAGCTCATTTAATTGCAATAGCCACGTCTTGCACATTCCTTCATATTACTGATGTCTACCATGCATACTTTTCAAGGGTGAAATTTGGATCTCCATAGTATGCCTAACTCCTATTAACAAGGTCAGAGGGAACTATATGTTCAACTGAGGGCAGGATTTTAACCCAAATATTTTTTAAGCATCATGGGAAATTATTTCTTTGAGAGCCTTAAATTAAGTCCTGTCTCCACCCAGCATCAGGCATAAAGCACCCAAACTTGACTTGTAGAGAAGACCATGAAATGAGAATTAGTATTCAGCCCCAAGAAAACAACATACTTTCGTTTTTCCAGCACATCTGAATAAAATGCACATTTTCATCTGTCTCCAATAATAGAAAACAAAATAATTCAGCTTTTTTTCCTGAATGTGTATTGCTGGCCAGATTGATGAATCTGTGCAGTGTAAACAGGAAAGAAGCAAACCCAGGAAATCAATGGCTTCCAAATGAAAATGGCTAAAACAACAAGGAAAGAAAAATCCCATCAATCCCCTGGGAAGGGAGGGCATGCGGTCTAATAGTTATAGCACTAGGCTGGGAGTCAGACTTTCTGGATTGATCTGCTAGACTTGCTGTTTAACCCAAGCATGTTATTAAGGTATGTGTACACTGGAGTTGGAAGTATAATTTCCAGCTCGGACAGATGTACAGGTGCTATTTCTGATCAAATTAGCATGTTAAAAATATCAGTGCATCCGGCACGGCACAGCACAGGTGGCAGGGTGGGCTAGCCACCCAATTATGTACTGGAGTCCCAGGCCGGATTGTGCTTGGGGCAGCTAACAACTTCCTAGTACTACAAAATTTCATACTGTGTACATCTGGTGCCCAGATACCATGGTGATGGTAGAAATCCATCCAGAAGAAGATTTAGGAGATTTAGATTTAGAAGAATTTAGGACAACAAAGCTGAAAGTCAGTGGGACTTTTCCTGAGAAATCCCCAGAGTGCTTTTAGGAATCTCCCACAAATAGATCAGATTAACCCCAGGAGCCTAAATCAAGCCACTTCATTCCAAGTTTGGCTTCTCAGCCAGGCACTTGGGTCACATTTTTCAGGCTGCCCCAGATACCTTTGACGTCCTCCCTTCGGTGGTCTTCTCTCCATTGAAAAGTCTCCTGAACACACACTGCTTCAAGCCCACGTGAGCTGATCACAGTCACCACCTATCTTTCTTATATTTAACAGCAGCCAAACCATTAACAGAACCACCCAGATGTGACTTGACTGAAATGAGTAATCACAGGCTCTGTAACCCTCCTTCTTCTTCTCCCCATCCCCTCCCTACTTTTGGTCACCCTCACTCATGGCGTCACATTTAAAATGTAACACACAAATCCTTTGGGGCCAGTGACTGTGTCTTCTGTGAAGCCACTAGCTTACTTCTGGGGAGGCCTATTAAATAATTATTAAATGGTTAAAATAGGAATGTGGAAACTTAAATATCTGTCTGACCTTCTTAATGCAGAGTTGGAATGCTCAGTCCGTGCGATCAAACTTGATTAATTGACGTCTGTGTCTTTATTATTATTATTGATCTTGCCTATTGGGCTAGTCTTATGAATGGCATACTTCATTTTGATGAGGGTCTTGTCTGAGTGGACGGGGGAAGGGGAAGAAAGTCATCGTGTCATACACCAGTGTCATTAAGACGAACCTTTAAATACCACTGTATGTCCTTGCTTCTCCAGGCATCAGCCCAATTGCTTTTGCTTATTTTATTTTATTTTATTTTTTACAGCTAAAGATTTTATTCGGAACTTGATGGAGAAAGACCCTAACAAAAGATATACCTGTGAGCAAGCAGCCCGGCACCCATGGTAAGCAACTAACACATGACTTCTGTTGCAATGACCTCAAGAAATGAGACTTTTCTTTAATTTGTGCGTACGGGGGGGAATGTTTGCTCCACCGTGCCGTATACTAGCCTTTGCTGAGTAACTTATTGCTGCAACCCCTGTCTTTGGCCCCTAGTTCTCCCTGCTTGTTCCATTGTATCTGAAATTAGACTCTGAACCTGCAAAAACTTTTAGCTTGCCAGCAGTCCCATTGAAATCCTTGAATAATTAGTTAATTGCTGCTCTCAGTTACTTATACTGCTGCAGTGGGGTTGCATCAGCATGAATCAATGCAGAATTTGGCCATTTTGCTAAAACTCAGGCCTAGTCTTCACTTACCGGCTGGTCCGGCGGCACGCCATCGATGTTCTGGGATCGATTTATCGCGTCTGGTTAAGACGCGATAAATCGATCCCAGATCGATCCCGGAAGTGCTCACAGTCGGCGCCGGTACTCCAGCTCGCCGAGAGGAGTACGCGGCGTCGACGGGGGGAGACTTCCGGCCGCGTCTGGACCACGGTAAGTCCGGACTAAGGTACTTCGAATTCAGCTACGTTATTAACGTAGCTGAATTTGCGTACCTTAGTCCAAAGTCCGGACTAAGTGGGGACCAGGCCTCAGATTGAAGTCAATGGGATGTGATTAAAGTTAGCCATCTGCTTACTTCTATGGCCCTCATCCAAGTAGCGTCTGAGCACCTAACAACTACTGAAAGACTTTACCTCACAACACCCTGGTGAGACAGGGAGATATCATCCACAATTCACAGGCACAGCGTAGACTAATGATATATCTACACTGCTTTAAAAAAAGGTATGTTCTTAACTGGAGTTCGCTAATCTGTGTTAAAATAGCAGTACAGACACAATTTGGCTAGCAGCTGAGGTTCAACCCAAGACTCCTCTTCAAGTGACTATGTTTCACTGCTCTTTTAACTGAAGATAAGATCACACTTCTTTTGGCAGTGTAGATGTACAACTAAGTGACTTGCCCAAGATCATGCAAGAAGTCTGTAGCAGAAGCAGGAATTGAACCCACATTTCCTGAGTATTAGGCCAGTGCCCTATCCATTAGGACAGTGGTTTTCAAGAGGGGTATGTGAGCGCTTGTCAGGGCGTACATGAGAAAAATCCTGTAGTGGCAGACAACGCACTTTATTTAATCAGACTTGGCAATCTAATCATAGGTATAGTATGACCCTATCTCAGATGGGGGTATGTAGTAGACTTCATTATTTCGAAAGGGGTACGCAGCCTGAAAACCACTGCACTAGGCCATCATTCTAAGCACTCAGGGGATCAGGGTTTTCGATACAAGCCCTTTAGGGCAGGCATGTTTGTGCTGAGAGATGCTGCTTTTGGGGATTGTACAATAATGACAATAATTGCAATGGAAAGGATACTGGAATCAATGACAGTAGAAATCCTTTTCCACTTAGGAACATCACAGCTACTGAAAATATCACTGCATTCTGTGGTTTCATAAGGTTGGATGGAACACTGACCAATGTGTTTCCTCAGCACCTCAAGTTCATCCTGCATGTACCCTTAGCCATTTATAAAGTGCTGAGCTTGAACAATAATAAGTTCAGTAGCTTGATTTACTGCAGTACTTGTCCTGTAGGGGGATTGGAGCACAATGGGCCAAGTTCTGCACTCAGTTACATTGGACAACCCCACTGCAGCAGTGTACTTGAATGCAGGATGCAACCAAGTTACAGCACTGTCATAAAATGCAGAGATGTTAACATAACAGTCACTTGCTTCATGTATCTGCAACATGGAAATTCAAAAAATATGCTCTGATCCCTGCTCCCACTGCAGACTTGAACATGGTTCTGTAGCACACTTGTCTAGGTATCTGACTCTAAAATTGGATTTGATGTGTAATAATCTTGTAGCACAGTTTGCAAATTATGTAGCTTGGGTGCACACCACGTTATCCATTTAAAAAGCATGTTAAGTTTCAATAAGGCTTAAAAGTGGTAGCATGGAACAGATTCCTAGATTAGGATTCAGGGTGTTTGGTACCCTTCACTGAAGTTCATTGGTTTGTCTGCATTTTGTTGTTACTTTAAATTCTGGGACAGAAGAAAAGGTAGATTGTCTCCAAGTTTTTTACAGCAGAGCACAGGAGCTGTAGCGGACTATGACCACTTACTGATTGTCTGGGCACAATGAGCCTTGCAATACCCTGTGTTTATAAACGTGTGACTGATGCTGCTTTCATTCACATATAGGAAAATTATCCCCCACTACCTAGCAGTAGATAGTGTAATGGTATGGGATGTAACCTGATGTTCATAAATCAATGCAATTCAAAAACATGCTTCTTGCTATGCTGGTTTCCTTGCTGATTACAATGTCCTAAAATTAGGATCATGGTTTGCTCCTCTAGTTAACTAGTGACTTGTGATGCAGGTCAATGAATTGTGAATGTATAGAAAGCAAGTGATAGTCCTGAAAACCTTGGTATAATGGCACAGAGTTATCATAACTAGAGTACCACATCAGGCAATGACTGCAGGCTCTCACAATAGCTGTGATTACAGTTAGATTGAGACTCAGTCTTTTCAATCAAAGGGGCAAAAACAAGTGGAGAAAAGAGCAATATATCTCTTTTCTAATAATAAAAAATGACATGAGACATGGAGGATGTCATGCAAATAATCTGGGAAATTGAGATTATTTGTCTTCGTCCTCCCACCTACCCACTACCATAAATACATTGCATATGTAAAATATTAGCAAGATCAATGGCCGGCATCAATATGAACGAGAAATGTGGAGAAGTCAAAACATAAATCATTGCAATTCTCCTCTGTCCCATCAATAACAGTACCTATCGTCTTGGTAACCTATCGTCTTGGTAACCTATCGTCTTGGTAACAAAAAGGAAATTTGGGAAACTGTTTGTAGTTTTTGGGAAGGAAAAAAAGTGTTTTCGAATTATATCATTCTGAGCCTCAAGAAATTATACAATTGATAGAAGTGGATATTCCAAATATAGAGTAAAGAACCAGAAATGCAACTCCCAGCGGAGAATTGGGTGACCTTTTATATTTCTGAAGGACAAATTTTCCAAAACGTTATTATCCAAGATACACAAAATGTACAAATCCAAGTCTTGGCGTGGTAACATTGCTCTTGGTTGCTGGACTAAAATAAAGAAACGTGGCAAGACGAACACACAGCTGCTGACCCCTACCAATGGAGCAGGAAGATAAAAAGTGTTGTCGTTTTTTGTTTGTTTGTTTGTTTGTTTGTTTGTTTGTTTGTTTGTTTGTTTGTTTTTTGCAAGTCATTGCCAGAGGCCAGTAGAAAATCATGGATTGCTCCATAAGTTTTGCTGTTTTCCACAGAATCCAACCTTCTGTCTAAAAAAAATTTTTTCAGTCATTTCTGTTGCAGAGATGCTGTTCTGCAAGTGTGGCTTTTCAGGGCAGTGGTTTATTTATAAGGCCTTTCCTAGCTATGTAAAGCATCGCTGAATCCAAGTGTGACAAGTTGCCCCCCTTCAAGGTGCCACCTGATGTGCTGAGATACCACTGAGCCCACCTGTTCTGCCAGCATGGGCCCCCTTTTAACCTGTCTTGCTGAGCCAAGCTCTTAAGCCTCCTCTAGCACACATACAGGCAGGGCCACACCCAGCTGCAGAAAGACACTGAGATCAGCTCTGGGAAGATTCAGTTTAAACCAGCACTCAGGTGTCCTCCTCCCTTAGAGTGCAGACCCAAAGGTATATTGTCTTGCGCTATATAGAAAAATCTACACAGCGCAAGCTCATAAAAATTCGCCCTCTTCCTCTTATTCCAGAGACAAGGTAGTTGAGGTAATATCTTTTACTGGACTAACTTCTGTTGGTGTGAGAGACAAGCGCTTGAGCTACACAGAGCTTTTCTTCAGGACCTGAAGATGACCTGTGTAGCTTGAAAGCTTGTCTCTCTCACCAACAGAAGTTGGTCCAATAAAAGATATTACCTCACCCACCTTGTCTCTCTAATATCTTGAGACCAACACAACTACAACAACAACTACATACGTTAGTTATCCCAAGACTGCATCTACCCAGACATAGCTCACTTCAAAGTGTGCCTATGACTTTAACTATCACATCTTTTCAGTAAAATAATTCCCAAGGAAACAAGCAAATTGGAAAAACTAAGGGCTTGATCCTGCCAAATGTTAAATGTGTGAGTAACTTTATGTACGTGAATAGTCCCATTGAATTTGCTGAAACTATGCGGGTATGTACAGCTACTCATGTGCTTAAATGTTTGCAGGATCAGGGCCTAAGAAATTTAAATGCCTCTGCCCAATGATCCATGTGTCTGAACTGTATCTATTCCCCAGCTGCCTGCGTTTATGTGCTGCTTTGCTGTTTATAATCAAATGGCCTTGGCAGGAAGACAGTATGTTTAAACTCAGAGTTGGCAGAAAAAGGAGGCTAATAATTACAATGAAGTATTGCAAAAGAAAAAGTGCAATATATAAGCCCTGTTGGTAGCAATGATTACATCCTAAACTGCATAATCTGCACATTTACACAGTCTTCTCCAGCTTAGTCTACAGGTGATTTATACTCTCTTTTGCCAGGGTTATCGTTTACGATTTGTTGCAAAAGTGAATATACGGTTTCATCAGTCCATTGTGACTTTTCAGAAAATGACATGGAAAACTAGAGTAACAAAAGAAGCGGTGTGATTTGCTGCAGCTTGATACATTTTAATATTTTCTGTGCTAGTATTAATGATAGCAGTTATGTTTATTAAATATATTATTGCAGTGTTGTTGTAGCTGTGTCGGTCCCAGGAGATCAGAGAAATAAGGTGGGTGAGTAATATCTTCGATTGGACCAACTTCTGTTGATGAAAGAGACAAGCTTTCAGGCTCCACAGACCTGAAGAACTCTGTGGAGATTGAAAGCTTGTCTTTTTCACGGTCCAGTAAGAGATATTACCTCAACTACCTTGTCTGTATTAAGTATGTTGCTAGGGCAGAATTCAGATCCTACTCTAGTCTAAGGCACATAGCCACATAGCTAAGA